CACAAAAGAAACGGACCGTCAAGAGACTTCCACACCTGGAAATACCAGATGAACACCTACAAGAGTGGAATTTCCAAATAATGCCTAGAGTGAGCCGTCTTCTTCAGAAGATCTTGAAGGAGTCTTCCGAGTCGTGTGGAGTAAACCTCATCATGACTGGCGAGTCGCCTGAAAGTGCGAGAACGACGATTTGTGTTACTTGCGCTAGTGTGAAGAAAGTTCGAATGGCCCTCAAGAAGCACTTCGCTCTTGGCCGAGATGACTGGGATTTGATTGTTCTCCGTGGCGATATCGAACGGTCCAAAGTTCCTCGGAACAGGCGCCGCAGGCCAGCCAAGGCTCGCCCGAATGCATCCAACGATATACCCTTTCGCCAGCGAGAGCTCAATCCATGTCACCAGCAACGACCCCTGTGCGGAGCATCTATCGGTGCCTTTCAGAACGAAGAGCACCTACCCCCCGTATCATATGGTGGTGCCGTCTTTGTCGATGGCTTGCCGTATGGCCTAACAGTTCATCATATGCTGGAAGCTCCTAGTGAAGATGAAGGCCTAGGCAGTGCCCCCAGAGACTCCAATCAAGATGCCCCTTCCAGGTCGGCGGGGAACTGGCCCCGTGATACATCAAATATCCCACACCCTGGGTTCATGTACGACTATCCAGATGATGACTCGCCTGACGTGAACTTCGATTTTGAAATTTCCGATTTGGAGGACGGAGACGATGCATCACACGGCGTTGAGTCTGATGACTTCTGGCTTTCAGATGAAGATTCATCAGATGATGACTCCGTCAGTCCCGATGACGATGACAGTGACACCGCGTCTATTGGTGATACTGCTGGCATCGAACCAGGTGAAGAACCTCGGCTGCTTGTCACCCAACCAGCTATTGACGACGTACACGAAGACTTTTTTCCATCTCCAGAAGATCGCGATGACGAACATCTAGCTTCACACTCCCTAGGATATGTCCACGCATCATCTGGAGTACGGCGCTGGACCCGAAAGGGTCTGAAACATGAAATTGACTGGGCGCTCATCAAAGTTGATGAAGCCCGCATGGACCCTCGCAACATCATTCTCGATACTACCAGATCCAGTATCGCTCGTCCCGGACGCCCTGTCCCGCCACAGCCCATATTTCTAAACCAGGTAGCCCGGATGGAGGAGCTAGGTGGTTTGCAAGTTCATTGCTGCGGTCGCACAAGCGGGCTGCAAACAGGGCAGATATCCAAGGCTATGACATTAGTCAAACTTCAGGGACGGCATTCATTCTCAACGAGCTTTTGCGTCAATGGGAACTTCGGAGGTAAGAGGTGCATTTCAGCGGATCCATGTTTTTGTCTATATGATCCTTAATTAGATACCCTTTTTGTTTTTCATGCATGCCCATCATTTGTTACCCTTCTTAGCTGGTAAACATACAGCACCATTCCATCCTAAAACATCGGCTCGTATCGAGTAAACATTTCATGAAGCTAATCTCTCTTGATTCGACAGCCCCCGGCGACTCCGGCGCATGGGTATTCGACCGTCCCACAGGCCGTGTTTGCGGCCATGTTCTCGCCTGGTCCGCCAAAAGCAACACCACTTACATCTCCCCTATGGAGGTCACCTTCGATGATATCGCACGCACGCTCCGCGCCTCCGTCGTCGCACTTCCCGGCGACCCGAGCCGATCGATGGGTTACGTCGACCCTAACTCCCCACAGTCGGCTCAATACCGCTACCAGGCACAGCGGCTTCCCGGGGACTTCGGCCGTTTGGCTTTTGGAGCCGGAAGTTCCCCCGGACCGCCTGTACCGCCCTATCCCCATAATTATCCTCGCCCCCAAGCCCACCATCCGGCTTACGGACGTCCTCCACCTCCTCCTCCACCCCCTCCTGGCTCCCGAGAAGCCCGTGGGCCCGTGTATAGTGGCCCCGTCCCTCCGATCCCGCCCTCGCTTCTGGCCGGGCCCCGCAATATCGAGAGACAACTTGCTTGATTTTTGGAAGAATCTAGAACATGGCAATAATGATCTGAGATGCATGTGGTATCGTTCTGGGTATATTGGTTTTGTTTTATGATTGTGTTGATATTTATGGACGTGGAGGATACCCATGGTGGAGCGTTTTTGGTTCTATTTTCGTTTACACTCTATTAAAACTATCTCGTATGAACTATTCAAAGAGCAGTATTCCTCAAAAGGATCACACTCGATTTGAAGTAGATACGATACAGCCAAGGGGAGTACCCTCGTGTCAAGCCTGGCGTTAATCTGTCATTCTTGAACCAGAATGCGAAGTTCCTCATTGCCATTCATAACGGTCATGCTTAATACCACACCAGGAAGGCTCAACATCTTGATGAATATTGGACCAAGAGGATGTGAGGATGCTAACGCCTTTTATATTCCTAGTATGTAATTCTGTAGCCTATAGCCCGTTTTCTCTAAAAATCCCCCATGTTATGCTGTGGTAGTCTGTAGAACAGATGTATTTGATATTCACTATCGCGTTCTCATAGAATTACATATGCTAATGAAATTAACTGGTTAGTACTATTCACCTAAAATGGGCTATTATTCTCTCTCAACTCCGCCATAGTCCTCCCGGAGTAATTATAGTACGACAGTTTGTATTTCTCTACCCTCTGCTGCTCAAATTTTTTATTCAACATGAGAAATATTGACTAAATCTTGATGTCAATGTTTTTGCTGTTGTTATTGAGGAAATAGTATTATTAGATACCCTACGAAGGCCGCCGCATAATAGCACTGAGATAGCACTCATTTTGGAAAGTGATCATATTCAAAAGACGATTTACACAAATTTGATAAAGCTCAATTTAATTATTTTCAATTCGATCTCAGGACCTCATAACTGGTATTAGATCTTGCATACATTATGGCAACCAGCACCGAATCAAATGGGAGATTGAAGGGACTTCGTAGCAATTTAAATATGTGTATGATCATAACTCTCAACCATCTCTACCGAGTTGAGTAACACGAAAAGAGAAAATGATGACTGTATTACAATGATAGAGAGCTGGATTATATCGTTCTAGATTTGATTTTCGTCATGCTAATACTTAGAATGGCACTGCAGTAAGCCAGCATGAAGTATATCCCCACAATATCATAGTTCCAACCCACATCAATAATGTTTCTTAGTCAAGTAACCCATGGAGAAAAAAACTAGTATGAAGACTTTGGGTGCTTAGGAGTAGGATTATATTAGGCTCGAAGATCCAGTGGAACTTTTACACGCTGAATGGCACCAACTCGGCAGCCTCAAAATATGGCCTGCTTATAGGTTGCTACAAAGGCTCTCAGTAAAACACAAATTTAACATTGAGCCGAGCAGAACGTGAGGACTCTGTCCTGGGGGATAAGATGATACCCCGCATATCTTCATGAACTATATAATTAAGCCGCCAAACTTAATCGAACTTTCTCATTGTAGGGTCACAAGAATAGTCGGCCGCATATGCGGCGTTGTGATATCTGTTTGATAGTTTTTTGTTTAGATATCTCCCCCTTATTGGTGTTACAGCTAGAGTATAGACTTTAAAAATTGCTTACAATGTGCAAAACAGCTTTTCCACGTATAGCCCTTGATTTGCTCAATTTCTCTTGCTGAGTAAGTTCTTCCAGCCCTTGTGTCATCTTAACCTCCCGTTAAACAACCTAGATAACCTTGAATCTTGCATCCGGTCCGTCAACAGCTTACAGATGCATTTGAGCAAGCCCTGAAACTACCCAGAGAACAAGAAATTGCGAAAATAATAACTTTAGAATGTGACATGAGCTAGGCATAGAGGCTATTGTAATAGGTACTTGTTTATTGATGTGCCGAAGAAACCCATCGTACGGGATACATAGTCTGATATATTTCATGCAAGAGAACCACCATTGGGTCTGCCTCCCACAGAACCTAGAACTATTCAAAAGGTCGTCAAAAACATTATTACAGAAAATACCAACGTGAACCAGTTCAAAAAGCCCAAGAAGGTAAGTTTAATTCCACGATACAAAATTTCATTAAAACATTCGGCCTTTTAGTCAAATAATAACCTGAGCTAGAGGCTCTTGTACTGATTGCTGATTGACAACAGACACATCACAACTATATTACTTGCAATTAGCCCCATTAGGTTTTCACCACTTCGATGCCGAAGAGGTTAGTTAATTTAATATTCATGCTACTGAAAACATCAGTCTTGGAACTCAGAACTCTGTTTGTTAGGATGCCAATTTGGTAAAGGAATGAAATGGGATAGCACAAGATAATAGTGGGGGATCATGTTAGCTTATCCGTTGTATGGAGTTATCTGATGGAGTGGAGTTTAAGCTCGGCTGGTCATTAACAAAAGCAGGTCTTTACGAATTTGGATATCTTTATTCTTGGGGTTAGTTGACTAATATGTACCTTGGCAATCCTTCAAGGCAAATGCATTTGGAAATATAGTTGAGAAAGGGCAAGAATAGGCAGATATATACTTGTACGGGGGAGTGTGAGAATGCAAATTGAAATTTCAAGAAGGAAAAAGGAAAAGAAAAAAGCTGAAATTATAGAGAGAACTATGAGACTAATAGCCCAAAGAGCGCGACGTAGGAATTGCCCAACTGGTGAGCACGTGAGTTTTCTAAACCTAATTTCTTTGTTCCAGAGAAACTTCACTATTTCCAGTACTTCTAATTGTAATCATCCACAATCATCATTGTTATACATTATAGTATCCTTACACTCTAATTGATTAAAGGAGAGGAGAGTGAGAAAATCAACAAGGATTTGATTTTTGAAATTAGCTTCTTAACATTGGAAGCTCCATGAACTGATGATAGTACTAGCCGAATGTTAAAGACAAATTGAATGACCGGCAAAGACAACGGTCACTCCTGCAATGTTCCCCATAATTTCATCCTTTGCCGAAACAAAAATTAGATCAGAGAGCAACCGATGTGTGTCGTGATCCGCATGGTGTCGGTGATATGGGACGCAAAGGAACATTCACAGTCTGATGGCACGAGCAGCCCGTATCTCAAAGTTGATGTTGGGCATGAATGTGCCAAGGACGCAAGCTATCAATTGACTGCCTTCCAACACACGATTGTAGTAAATGGAATCCTCCTCGAAGAGTCGGGCGTGCAGATCCACCTCAAATGTCTTGCTCGTTCGTTCCCAGATCATTGCTTCTCCTTCAAGTGTGTCGTGAAGCTCCCATCGCGGCTGCACCTTTCTGTCGTCACCATGCATCACATTAAAGTCTGGATGCTCGTCTGCGATGATCCACATAACTATGTCACCACGGAAACTGCAAAGTACGTCGGCAAGCGCACCCAAACACTGATCATCCACCAACATATGCATAGACACAGCGAAGTGACCGATATCGACGGGAAGAAAAACTTTCTCTGGAGAAGGAAGCCACTCGTGAATCCCAGAGCACTCGTTGACGAAGTGTTCATACACATCCCCACCAACCCAGATCACGTCGCGCATTGGCTCAAAAGGTCGAAGAAAGATGGTGCACCGCCGGTCCTCATGGGTAATGACCCTAATTCCCTGCTTGCGAGCCCATTCGATAGCAATATTACGAGCCTCATGGTTCACGTCAGCGAGTGGTATCTTGACACGAATCTGATCGAGAGATTGGTGGTAAAACTTCCACTGCACAGGGTCTTGGTAGAGGCTACTTGCATCCAGGTGTTCAGGATCAGCGGGGAACCAGCAACCATTTCGGTAGGGAGTAAATGCTGGCAAGTCCTTCTCGGGCAAAGCCTCAAGCCATATCTGGAATCGCATTTCGGGGGGAAGGTGGGAAAATAGATGGAATGTTTCGGAGTCGGCCGCCGCGGCGGCAAGATCGGGGTTATCCATGAGGTGGTCTGAATTGTCTGTTGAATACCAGATGATTGAGATTCTCCTGATGGAGAGTGGATTAGTGGAATTGACTTCGTGGATAAAGGTTAAACCTGGATTTGGTGCCGGTGCCTCAGGCAATCGTGGGTGAATACCACTTTGGAGAAAGTCTCGGCACTTAGCAGCCTTTGATCCTTTCGATAATATGGCATATTGCATATCTCTGGGAACCTTGCTAGATAGTCTATCTCATATAATCTATCTGCATTGAACCTTTACCAATACCTAGATACGTAGCACTCCAGATCAAATGTAGATATCTCTTTATGTTGATTCGAACTCATTTTAGTTGGAAATTGACGCAGGGCGAAAGAGATGCCACGAAAGCTAGACTTTAGTGAGTATACACTAATTCTCTTACAAAAGATGTCTATTTCATATGAGATTACTAGAATACAAGGTAATTAGAAACTGGAAATGTGGCATGGCGAGCTCGACTATTCACTCCAGCACCACTAGACGTTGGCCTTGAGTCGACAGCCGCCCTCTTAAAGGGCCATGTTATATCAAATCCTCCATTGTATCGAAGTCAGAACTTCTATTTTGATCAAGGCTATAATAAATCTAGGACTCGAGCATTAGCCATTTTCAGAGGAACAATCCAATGATTATCACATGTCCTCTGGCTCAGGCTTCAGAGCCATAGAAGCAGTGAACCGTATACAAAAATAAAACAGCATGAATGTATTCCAATCCGATACACCATGTGAACCTATTGCGACGAATTATCCACTATGCTCTATGGAGAACAAAGATGAGAAATTCTGATTTTAAACAATCCATAAGTTGAGACTTAAAGAGATTCACCCCCCGGAAGATGCATTAGCCGCTCATTGTCTCTGGTCCAAAATAGGGAACTGCATATCGAGAGCTCTCTATATTGATAGCTCGTGACTTTTGAGATGGACTTGCCATTTTATCTGATTCTCAAGTTTGTACGTACACAGCAATATGCCTGGGTGGAACGCGTCTTCATAACAGCGCGTCCGATAACTCGTTCCTACTTGTCTCCCATCCGTTCCCCTCCATTCTCTTCTTCCTAATTTCTTGCTCTCTCGAGTTTAAGATCACTCAAAGTCTTTGATTTCCAAATCTTCATCTTATCTTGTCCTCCATACGTCAATTCGCCTCCGTCCGTTTTCATCGCCATGTATCATTTGCAGTGCTTCCACGAAGATCCCGAGCCAGGCACTCGGCCCCTCAAGGAATGGCCATGCAGTCCCGATAAAGTCATGGAGCTTCTTACGGCATGGTACGACAGTGACAAGCCTTTTTTCAAGAAGCAAGACCTTGAAAATGTATCGAACCAACTCAATCGCCGGTACAACACCAGAAAGAATAATTCCAAAAAGCAACTGATCTCTGTCAAGGGCCTCACTGGCTCCAAGATTAGTTACGAAGTGGTGACTGGGCAAAATCACACGGGAGCTGCCATGAATGAAGACTGGGAGATGTAAGTCGTTGATGTTTCTTCAGGGCTTCTTCAGGGCTCTTATGGCACGTGACACCAGCTAACATATACATGCCACAACAGCCAGCAACCCAATATCAGGTACTCATGCTATGAACAACTCATTTCGTCAGTGGAGTATGGAAAAATCAAACTGGAGGAAGCCTTCTTTCCGTTGCAGATTGAGCATTCCATGCTCGTTCGTGCTAGCGACACCAAGCTGCCCATCTCCGTGCCATACATCGAGAACTCTGAGGCTGTGGATGAGTTTCTCCGGAATGCCCTGAAGAACTGGAAGGAATCTCCTGAATGGGAAATTCTCAAGGGGCTCCTCAAGCGTGTCCCCACCCATGAGATTCACAAGATTATTGGTATTGCATCTGGATCGATGGAATTCGGTGCCGATGATGGAGATTGCACCCGTCGCAGCGCTGTGCAGCATTCCCTTATGATCGCTCTCAAGGAGAAAATTGAAGATATGAAAGATGCAGAGGTCCGATGCTATGCCCAGGAACCCCGCTACACCGCCGTTGACGCCTGGGCTCTTGCGGAGCATGGCTGCCAAGTTCTGGAAGACCCTCAAGCTTTGCTTGAAATTGACAACGACTGCATTCTCTTTTCTTGCTGCCCAGCTATCCCACTGAAGGAAATTACTGCTGACTTTGCTCGCCCTGTCATGCTGATTTGGGATCGAGTTGTCTATGGAGGAAACAGGAGATTGTGAGTCTGATTCTGACCTTATATTCACTTCACCTTGCTAACTGACCAGTTCTCCTATGCATAACCCGAACTCCACTCGTGTGGTGAACATGGTTGAGGATGAGTATGACTGCTACTCGTTCTGGGACTTGCACGATACTGTGCTTGCTCCCTTCATGTCCGAACTGGTTGTTTACATCCGCCGTAGTGCGGAGTAAACTCAACGGAAAGATGATGTGTTAGATTAAATCAATCAGTCAATTAGTCAATCAATCAATGTTTGATTAACCTGTCGCAGTCGAAGTAGTTGCGTATTACTATGCAGGCGCTTCGTCCAACCGAAGCAAGAACTCGAGTCCAAACGCCGAGTTGGGATTACTCCCTAAGAGTATACAGATACTGACCGTAAATATTGTGAGATCAGCCCATTCTGATAACCCGTAAAACCTATAAACCTATACATAAGAAATTAACATATAATGTTTGCCAGAGGTTTCACTTTCGCTCTCCATCTTCAATCTCTCATTTCTTCCTTCTCACTCACTCTCTCCTCCGCTCTCTATTCCCCCTGCCTCAGTTTCAATTGATTGGTATGGTGGTCAACCCTGGCTGAGTTTCTCGTTTCATAGTATCGCTTCTCGTCATTGGCTAATGCCCATCGTCTTCCACATCTAGGTCTATAGCCGTAAGGCCTATCGGTTCGTCGTCGTTATCCTCAAGTGTTATATACTGAAACTGCTGGAGGAGACCTATTTGGTGCATAAAGTTGGCCACCTAGCGAGTGGCCTGCGGGCTTGATACGATCTTGTCGTAATTCATCTCCTGAATACCAATGTCCCACGGCTGCTCCCACAGCTTCGTGCGCGGAATGATATACTGCGGGCACTATATGATTCGGTGTCTGTGAGCCTTCGTCACAACTGCACCGGTCTGCCTCGGCTACCTTGATTTTAAACAAGAAGTTTCGAAGCCCGATCCTCATTATACGCATCTGAATCAGAGTTACACATTGTGGGTTCGACAGTCCTTCTTACAAACGGAGTGTGTTCTTGTTCGGCCCCTGCACTAAGCGCTTCGTGGGTACAGAAGTTGTCTCTCGCCCCCACTGCCTCTCCCACCGCTCTCTGCTTCGCTGGCGTACCGCTCTCTTAGCAGTAATGTGTTGGATTGGGGTGTGTCGGGGACGATGGAAAATGTCCAAAAAAAAATCTCTTTGATCTTGGGGGGAAATAGTTCTGTTTCTATGGGTTGCCAGGGGAGTTTGCAAGACCCAAGAGTCTTTGATCGAGTGGGAAACCAATTCTTTGTTGAAGGCCAAAATCGTGTGACTGTGGCTTCATTTTTTGTGTATGTCTTTGTTTCTCTGTATATTTATCAATCAAATCTCCTTTCTGTGTCACAATATCTCCAAATGATCCCTTTCGGTCGCCTTGATCCTATAAGTGAAGAAAGAAGCATATGTATGGCTGCCAAATCTCATGCAGTGATGAACTATAAAAGTGGAGTTCCTATTTATGGATTCCCCATGAAAGCAAGATAATTTCTGTATTTCTGACACTAAAGGAATGCATATACTTCACACAATTCCTATAGAAGGTAGACAGCTGATTCACAATAGGTATGGTACAATATTGAATAGTACAGTGAGAACTGAATATTATATAGAATCTGGGATAAATCTTTTGCAAATCCATTTGAAGCCAAAATAAAGTGGCAAACTGTCCAATCTCTTTATACCTAGAATAGAGGGCTATATTTATAGACTTATCTTCCACCCCTATAGGTTCATAAACTCCCCATTCATTCGCAACGATATCAGAGATAGAGTCAGGGGAAAAAAATGATATAGCTTCATTCTACATAATTTTAATGACTGAAAGCAGCCTAGATTAAAATGTTTCCCTACAATACAATATAATACAAGCTTTGTGTGTAGAAACGGGTGATGAAAGTGTCAAACTGCATCAGTACCACTAATATCGATTCTATAGGAGTCCAATATTCTTAATATAAGAATTTTATGATATATAAGTGATACTAAATTAGGTTAAGTGTTAAAGAACTCTGATTCTATCTCAGTTACGAGGAGTCGACTATAATTCTTAACAAACAACAAATGTGAATATTAGTGCCTGGTGACTTGAGCTTAAGGTCTTGAGGAATCAAACCTGAGTGCTAATCATATCTTCAAGCCTTTTTACCCCTACATTACCTAGGACTTAGTTATAAAAGTAGTACCTAGTTACTCGATTTCCTCTGCCACTTCTTAGCCTTAGACCTGGCAGTGACCCACCGGGTGGTCTATGATCTTAGACCCTCCACCTGACCCTCTACAGATCGCTTATGGGTAACCCTCTACAACCTATAGCGACCCTTAGATATATCAATTTATAGTATGAAGCCTAATTGAGGTAGATAAAACTAGGCTTCTCCAGAACCCAGTTCGCAGAAAAAAAATTGTAGAGTGTCTTCGGATGTACGGCATAAGCATCAGCCCCAATCCACCCTCTGAGACAGCTCTCCACTTTTAAATTCTAAGCATTGTAATTGGCCAGGAAATCAGCCTGGGGGAGCTGAAATGACTGCGCTATTGGCAGCCCGGTCGGAACTTCGAGAAAAACGTGACGTCCCTTAACGGCATTTTAAGACGTGTTGAAAATCAATGCATGCGACATTCACAGTTGAACATGTACAAATCCAGAACGACAAATGAATGGATTTTCGGTGGGCTGATGGCGGCCCAGGCGGTCATAGTTCTGGCCCTTGAAATGTAAGATTTAGCTCCCACGAAAAATTGCAACTGATCTAACAGATTCAGCTTTATCCTCGTGGAATGGCAACTGTGGATGCTACCAAAAGCCATTCAAATTACTCCCTCATACACCGTCCCCATTGAAGCAGCAATCATATGGTTCGCTTGTATCTATGAGTTCTCGCTCTCCCTCGATGCCATGCGTCATAAGAACAACCTCCTGCTGTTCGCCATCTGCGTGTGTAATGTTTTTCTCGTGGCCTTCGGAGCCATGCAATATCCATCTATGAAGGACTTCTGCAAAACCATGCCGGAGCAGCGGGCCATGTACGATGAACCGCTGGTCGACATCACGAGGAACATCTGGCCACAAATTCGGGGCCCACAACTTGCTGTTCCGATTTTTGTTGGCATCTTCACCCTTGCAATCTGGTGGTTTGCCTTTCAATTGCACAAACAGTATGCCTGGTCGATCTACCGGAGTGTACAAGGTGATACGCGCGCAAAAGCTCGACATTTTGCGTACGAAGTAAGTCCACAAGTTTTGTTTCGGGTTTTAGCTGCTCATGGAGATATAGGTTTACGTGGTTTTGGTCAAACTAGACGCTTTCTTCGTCATCTGCTTCATTTTAGAATATGGCTTGATTGATGTGCACTTCATCGAGCCCGAATTTGGATTGACCATGTCAATTCCACCCGTCCTAACATTGATACTTATTATGGGGGTATACATCATCCGCAAGGAGCACAAGCCACTCATGCTCTTAGTCATTGTAAGTCAAAAACTCATTTTCACTTATATCTGAAACGTCAACATTCGCTAACACAAACAGGCCTGCAATTTGGGCCTAATCGCATACCTGATATCCCGGATCGTTGTCCTTTACGGAAAAAGTCTCCTCGCCTTCACACCATCGAAAGGCAAAATGCTACTTTTTGGATTTGCATCATTGGTGTTGACTTTCCTCTCTCTTGGGAGTGGGATGCAGTGCTTTATGAACTTTGGCTATGGACTGAAGCATATTCTGGCTGGCAAAGCTCATTCGGTTCGTACGTCCTATGATTTCCACACCATCTCTAGCCACACCCATGCCGGATGATATTTCCTCTCGCCAGTTGTCTCTTTCTTAGACTGGCATCAGAGTTGGACAGTGCTTTTTTCATTATACTTATAGAAATCTAATTTTTCAATTTTGTTCAATCAATCAATCAATCAATCAATCAAAGTTCAATTAACAATTAACCTGTTACAGTCTAACTAGTTACGTATGACTATGCAGGCGCTTCTTCTAACTAAAGCAAGAACCAGACTTCCGCAAAGCCCAACTTTGGGCCCAAGGTCCGGGCTCGAAACCCGACCCGTAATGAGCTAGTCTTGATTGTCTTCTATGTTGGCTAGATTGCATTGAACAAAAAAGAAATAGCCTTGGTAGCGAAGACAGCTTCATAGTTTTACTTTACATTTGTACCATTACCCACATTTGGAGATCATCACTAGGACTTCCAGATATTTTCGACTATGCATTATCATTTTGTTTTCTTGTTCTTTCCACTGCCCGTTGATCTCTCAATTGAGACATCATTCCCGAAAAACGTTTGTTTTCGTTGTTTGTATTGGTATTCAAGCGGCTTTTGAGTTGACTATCGCCTGTTTCATGGGATCACATTGAACCAAGTCTTCTATCAGTTCCAGGGTTAAGGGTGCTGTAGTGTCTGCGCCCTAGAGGAACAGCTGTCAGTCATAAGATAGGCTGCAGCAAATTAGTAGGAGAGTGCATGATTGTGGGTGTCGGAGGTGACAAGCCACTGAAACACAAAGCCTCGACACCAGTAAGATCTCCTGACGCGTAAGGTCTCCTGCATCAGGGCTAGTGCACGGCAAATCTAGGCCCCATCGGGTGTATGCGGCTGCTCGTACTAAATCTCTTCTTCCTCTTCATCCTCAACCTCATCCATGCTCTCCCATTCATCTTCACTATCGCTCTGCTCAAGATCTGCATCTTCGCCAAGCATAGCAATCAGCTGCAACAAGCTGTCCTGTGGATGCCAGGTGCCTTCGGATTGCAAAGTTAGGGCGGGGCCACCAAGACCATCCACCGCTGAGGGCTGGTCCGTGTCACCAGAGGCAGAGGAGGATTTGTCAGAGAGGTTAGGGGCCAGGCTGAGGATACGAATGACTTTTATAGGAAAGATTCGAGGAATACCTCTGCCTTGCGGTGGAGGTGTGCCACCTGGAATGTTGGGGTCACGCCAGCCAAGGGTCTGCGATTTCTGGTGTTAGCTGTTTTACTTTTGCCTTTTTATGTTCATAGGTCACAAAAGGAGCTCACGGTGTAGGTAGTCATAATAGCATCATCAGCCAACGCCATGTAACTGACTGGCACAGCAAGCTGCGGCGCGGAGCTGGTGAGCAACGAATACGAAGCACGGGCGGGACTCTCCAAAGTTTGAACCCTATTGTTGTCATCAAGGGCGACGACATATATCCGATCTTGAATTTCGAACATCACACGGTGGTTGCGGATTGATAACCAGCCACCCATGTCAAAACTAGAACCGTCGGATTCGCATTCCAATATGGAGCTGCTCGCCGCGAGACTAGCTTCGTCACGGAGAGCCTTGCGGAAATCAGGGCATATAAATACACGACCAGCGCGAGAGAAGCCCACGAAGAGATCGCCGTTCAACATTCCTGCTCCCCATTCATCCTCCCCATGCCAGACGTGATCTGGGTCATCTGGTGGTGACAGCGGGCCTTTGGCGACCTCGATTGGTACCAAACGATCCTTTTGGAATGCCCCGGGTGGGAGGGGTTGAGGTCTTGGGCCAAGTTGCGCAGCGCCTGTTAGTGCTGCACTAGTAGAAGCAGAGGCAGCTTTGGGAGGAAGGATGTGATATTTTTCCGTCGACTTCGACGGCTTCAAAATACCCAAGAAAGCACCAGACTCCTTGTTGTAGGCAAAATAGCCTTTTGCTCCCATCGAATAGATCACAATGTCTTCGCTTTGGTCCAAGTGGCCAATGCCACCCCCCTCAATCTTCAAGCGTGTAGTCAACTTAGGAGGTCGCTGTGTCATATCGTACACAAAGCCCCGACCCTCGTTGGAAACAACACAGAGAGTCCAGTAGGATAATTGGAATCCTCTCGTCTGGCAATCATGATTCAGGATAGCGATGCGCCGGAACTCTCCACGCTTTGCGCCTTCAAGATCTGTCTGCCAAACCTCGAGCGAATCTCCTTCACTATCAAACACAGCCATTCCATCCTGATATTCCAAGTGTGCGTGCGGGCGAACTCCATCTTTTTCGGTGCTGGACACCGACGGGAGTTGCCAGAGGATACGGCCCGTGTCCATATCAGTGACGTTCATCCCGCCAGCATGGGAAGTGGAAATGAAAAAGCGGCGCTTAAAATCGGCACGGAATCGCCAAACGTGGTCATTACCGATTTGTAGCACCGATTCCTGGCTGACTGGATGCGGCTCGGCCCAATTGCGGGCCAGAAGTGTTTGGCGCTTACACAGGTCTTTCCATGATTCCGTGCCCTCGAATACTTTGGCAAAGCTGTGGGTATCAGAGAGGAAGGAGAGATCGCGGCTGCCTCCAAGCGGCTGCGTGGTTTTAGCTTCGGATGTGTAAATAGCTTCTTGGTGAGTGACGTCGATAAATTGATGCCAAGCCTTAGAGGCCGCGGTCAGGGACGCAAGCGCGGATACCGGGGTGAAGTGTAATATTTGCAGGACAATTTCTGGTGGTAGGACAGTGAGAGGGTCCGCCACGGGTGAGATGGCGGCCATATTTTCAAAAAGTAATGGAGAGTTGTTGCAGAAAGCAAATTAGAGAGGTGGGGGGTTCGCAACATTTTGTCGTTCTCCACCCAATATGCGATGACGTAGCCGTTTCTATATCCGTGGATAGGCATAGCAAATAGCCTCCAGGGGAACTTGGGATGTCTTGCCCTAAATTTAAGCTTAAACACATCTCAATCCGCTCGCCCCCAGGTCCTCCAAGTATTGGATTCCCAACCGAACCTCCGCTGCAATGCCTGCCTCATTTGAAGGTGCCTCATTCGCTCTTCCATATGTTGAACGAACTCTTCCCGGTCTCGATAGCGTTTTCTGAATTCCTTCACAAGAACCGGAATAACCTCCCACCCAACAAAAAGCAAGAGACCAGCAAATAAAGCAAACAACTGATCCTCTTCGTTAATTGACTGGGGGGCACATGGCATGAAGAAGCATGAATGTGATGCCTTAACACTGCGAGTTACATAAGCCACGAAAACATACCAACCACTCGCATATCCCGCCGTACAAAGCCAAAACAATGGAGCTGCGAGCATGAGGAAATATAGATAAAATGGAGCCATTGGTAATAGCCCCATCCACCATCTTGAATCTTCTGTGACATCGATCATGATGATCGAGATTACTACCACAAATAATGACACACAGATCAAAAGGCGCACCACCTTTACCACCATTATCGATGCTGTCGCTTTGTTGAATGCTTGCTTCAGCAGTCTAGTCAATGCTTGTTTCGGTGGTCTAGTGAGCACCCTAGGTAACAAGGATATGTCCAATTGGTCGAGCAGCCATACAGAGAATGGCATGATACAATATGGAGTCCCAGCAGCAACAATCAAATTGAGGTCATAAGCACCGCTGTTTATGCCATACCAGTATAGCGCAGGTATTCCCATTGTTTTGATAGGAGCAGCTGAGTGCATGAGCGCCATGAAGGGCAATATCATTCCGAGCAAGAGTGTCCGTAAGCGATGACGTCGGGTCTCTAGGGTGTCGAATAACATCATTGTAAGAATATACTGCATCGAGCCATGGAATGTTCCCCAATATGTGACGGTAAATGCCGCCCCAATGGGGCCTTTCAAGCTGTTTAAATCTGCAGCGTAGGTCAAGGAGTCGAGTGGAATACTTTTAGCCATGCGGACTCCACGAAACAGGCCAACCGCAGCCCAATTCGTGCCGAGCAGAAATAGCCACATGTTTGGATCAAATCTCTCTTCTGAAGCTCGAATGAGCCGCCACCACGATGCCACGATTGAAAGGAACCATCCTGCCCAACTTCCTGGTCCATAAAATCCGCTCACATTTCCGATGCCAAGGACATCAGGTGGTTCGGATGTGACATCTAGATAAACCGGGAATCCGCTGTCATAATGCTCTGTGTCAGGCGTGGGAGCCGCATCGGATGAAGGGCTTGTCTTGTCAGTCGACATTGTGGATACCGTGTTGTCGGAGGCTGGGAGGCTAGTGGTGTAGCTTTGTTCGACATGAATGATTGCTGTTGGGTTCGAACCCGTTTCTTCTGTTGTTTGGAGTGCAAGCCCACATGTTGTGGATGTGAAAAGGAAAGACAACAGTACACCCCTCCAAATCATCGCATGTGTTGCAAGCAAAAGACTAAAGACTTGGGGCTATCCTTGATGAAGGCCACCTCAATATTTTTTCCTTTCAACTTCCGAGCTAACTTGAAAGTCCTGTCCGGGCAGTTATATGGGAAATGGATTTCTCGCCTCGGCCTGGGCGTCTCGTATAATCGGGCTGTGAGCAAGCGTGTCAGCAGCCTTCAGCCACCGACTGGCGCAGTGGCGTCGACGACATTTCAACAAAATGCCTCCTCCCATCTCCTCGCTAGAGATATTACCCATTGCCATATGATAATATTCATAGGAGGTTGACGAAAGGTTGGTTTTGCGTACCCCGCAAGTACAAGCAAGTACAAGCGACATCCTTGCATATAATCAGCAACTGTCCCGTTGCTTGGCACACCAACGAGGCTGAGCGCAAAGCAGCCCAATTACGAGAATTGATTTGATTTTCTCCCCATACCCCTCATCAGTCATGGGTAACGAGACCCTCCAAAAGTTCACTGCCCTCGATCTCGACTACTTGATTATAGGCGGAGGTACAGCAGGTCTAGCTGTTGCTGCGCGCCTCACTGATGACCCAGAATTCCGCGTGGGAGTTATCGAAGCCGGCCCATCGGTCTTAAACCTAGATGATAATGGCGCGATTAACGTTCCCGGTCGGTATGGCGAAACCATCAACTCAAAATACGATTGGAAATTCAAAACTACCCCACAACCCGGCCTAGGAGGAAGATCACTACCATGGCCACGAGGTCGTATATTAGGCGGTACAAGTGCGCTCAATCTCATGGCCTGGAATCGGGGTCATCGCAAAGACTATGATGCTTGGGCGGAACTGGGGAATGAGGGGTGGGGATGGGAAGATCTACTGTATGAGTTGACCAGCTTTCAAAGATTCTGATTATATTTTGAATCTCACCGGCTGATCTGTGAGATACTGAATTCCCTGCAGGCACTTTTTTCGCCGGAGCGAGAACTTCCACCCACCCAGTGCCGCTCATCAGAAACATTATCAGTCTTCCTATGATCCCCAGGTTAATGGAACGAAGGGCCCTCTGCATACAACTCACGCCAAGCAGTATGGCCCTACACACCAATATTGGCACGAGACACTGAATAATCTCGGAGTTCCATCCACGCGCGATAGTCTGGCTGGCGATAATACAGGCGTCTGGAACATGGTCTGCACAATCGATCCAGATAGCCAGGAGCGCAGCTACTCCGCTTCTGCATACTACCACCCCATTGCCAAACGCCCAAACCTGCATATACTGACTGAAGCAACCGCCATGGAAATTCTGTTTGAATCCGAGGATGATGAGTGGTACGCAACAGGGGCTCGAGTACGCTGGAATGGACTGGAAGCAAATATCAAAGCGTACGAGGAGATAATTGTATGTGCTGGTAGTGTGCAATCGCCACAACTTCTGGAGCTATCCGGCATTGGCAACCAGGACATTTTGAAAGCGGCTGGAATTGAGACGAAGGTTCACAGCCCCAATGTAGGAGAAAACCTACAGGAGCATATGAGTATGAGATATAAATAGTGCTTCTTGTGATCTTGGCTGATGTTTATGAGTGACTGCCACCATCTTCGAAATACCCTCCACGATTCCAACCCGTGATGACATCCTTAAAGACCCAATTCAACGCGAAGCTGCGGACCGCGCCTATTACGCTTCTCAGACCGGGCCCTGGACTGTGATGCCCTGTTCAGTGGCGTACTGTCCGCTTTCGAAGATCCTATCGCCCCAGGAATGTGACGAACTACACACTCAGGCTAAGGAAGTCGCGCGAAATACAGGACGTACACATGACGCTCTTCTAGCCAGTCAATTTGAGACCGGCCAAGCGCGCGGTCAAATCGAGTATCTCTTCGATCTTGGTAACTGGAGCCCATATTTTGTCTCTGAGCCGGGAAAAAAATACGCCACAATGCTACAAATGCTGCAGTACCCTTTCTCGCGCGGATCTATCCATATACCCCCTATGAGGGAAAACAACTATGAAAAGGCCACGATTGATGACAAGCCCGTGATTGACCCGCGGTATTTTCTAGGGCCTGGGGAGATTGATAAGAAGGTCATGGCCAAAGCACTCAGATGGGGAGATCGAATCTGTCAGACTGAGCCTTTGGCCAAACTTATTCACGGTCGAGTCTTTCCTCCTCCTGCCAATGGGGCAGACTCCGAGGAGAAAGTATACGAAGAGTTCGTCTCAAATTATACTGTCACCGATTGGCATCGTATGTTCTCCCTCCAAGATTCATTCAGCAAATCACTAAAAATACATACAGCAGTTGGAACATGCGCTATGGGTGAAGCAGATGGCACCAATGCTGGAGTTGTTAATGATATGCTACAGGTGCATGGGGTTCGTGCTCTGCGGGTTGTAGATGCCAGCATCATGCCATTGCAGGTCGGGGCACACATCCAAGCCACCGTATATGCGATTGCGGAGAAGGCGGCGATGATGATCATGGATGACTATTTTGCTCGAAATGATCCACTATGAATCTCATGAAGCTTGCATCCAATGATAATATCCCATCTAAATGGCATTGCAAATATTTTGCCTGGTAATCGCACACTAGCAAGGGTGACTGTCACAACGGAATATCTGCCAATTCATATTTTTCGGTTTTCCATTGTTGCACGCCTCTCTAGTTTCGGAAATATCGCTCAGAGCAAGTGAAACGTATCCGGTTCTATCGGACTACTCTGCATCTCATCATCCCCCATGTCTGTGAAACACAGCCTGCGCGCACAAGCAATCTTGGCGATGTCCTCTAGACGAGGATAGCCTGGGAATTTCTTCAATAACAAACACAAGACTAAGATGGCTATGAATATGCCTCAAATAAAAAGACCGACTGAAAGCAGAAATCCCCGACCTTCGGCTACAGCCGACGTCAACTCTTCCCCTCTTAGGAGGGGCAACCGGCCTATTATTTAGCCCGAACAATTGCGACATGACGTTCGGATATTTTTCCAGAGATTTATTGGATATCTTATCATTCACTAATCTACCAAGCCCAACCTCCACATCGTGTAGTAACCGTCGTCATACTATTTGTCACTTGACTCATCTCCCATCCGACACGGAAACTGATTCCCGCGGGGCTTGAATATATACCAACTCGCCTCACTCAAACACAACTACATATACACATCCTCTATCCGACACCATGATTTCCGGAATCGCTCACATCAACCTCCCAGTCCCTCAGGGTACATTAGAACAAGCCAAAGAGTTCTACGGGACCACCCTCGGACTCACCTTAGCGCCGGTACCGGAGCTCCAAAAGGGAACAATTCTATGGTATTGAAGCGAGCTATTTCTCAAAAAACAACAACAACACATCTCTAATCCTATTAACAGGTTCAATATCGGCTCCAGCGGACAACAAGTGCATATTAGCTTCGGCGCGACCGATCCCCTCTCTGGCCGGCACCCATGCTTCAAACTGTCTTCCCGCGAAGAACTAGAGGAACTTAAAACAAGCATCCATGATCACCATGTGCGTGGTGGCCCCGCAGCCCCAATGGCTGCCGATACGCCCGGCGAGGTAAACTCTGGTGAGTTCAATGTTATCTTTAACACATCCCTCGTATGGCTGTTTGCTAATTATTGCTGCAGGGAGTCAAGGGAAAGAATATCCCACGCGGTTCTTCGCTCGGGATTTTGCTGGAAATCGACTTGAGTTTACTACGTGAGCAGTTCTATTGATTTGAATTGAATTTGTGTCTACGAAAGCGCGGGTATGGGATTATCAATCGAGTCGCTGTTTTGACGGTGGCTAAATAGGATATCTACGGCAGGTTCTAGACGCCATCGCGCCAACCGACCAGGCAGCAAATTAGCAATAAATTAAATTAATAACCCATACCTATAGCCCAGAGTAATGAATGTAATACTATTCGTACCTTTTTAAATCCTAGAATTCCCTTGTTTCTTATTATACCCTTTAAACTAAAGAATTATAAGTAACTAGCTCTTTTATCTTTAAGATTAGCTTAGATAATACTAGTTTAAAGTTGTAGATAGAGCTAGAGGTTTAACTCAATTGCCTCTGTGGCCCACGGTTTGAACCGCTTCTCGAGGGTGGCGAACCAGCCCAGTTGTAGGGAACGGACACTTAAATCCTACCGTTCCTCGTCAGACAGTTCTGCGCTATACCAACGGGCTGCCGCCTCCCGTAGGTATAACGGGAGGTTCGCGCGAACTACCTCCTCGGACTTCAGAGGGATTAACGCCTTTAGCTAGTTAAGGAACGTATAAACATTCGTATAATATATGGCTCCCCTAAGAGTGCGGATATATACGTCTGACGTAGGGTCTGGTATAAAGTAACCTACGTCGTCTGTCTTCTAATTAGTCTTCCGCACAACCCAGTAAAACCTAGACCCAACCCAGACCTAACCTAGACTAGGTTATGTTCTGGGTCGAGACCTTCGACCCAAAATGGGTTTTGCGGAAGACTACTTCTAATATACGGTACTGTGGGGTATATCCTATCTATCTCGGCCTACCGGCCTGCGGATCTTATCATGACGAGCTATAATGATGTCATTAACTATTGTTCGAACTCCATTAGCTTCGCGAGAGCGCGTACGGAGTATAGGGTGAATACCTCGTCGATAACTTTCGTAATTTAGCCCTTAATAGGGTGATATAAGACGGGGGTCCCTACGGGTTATGCTGCTGTAGGTCGTAGGACTAGTTATAGTCTGACCCGTTCAATTTCCTAAGCTTAGAGGCGCCTTTAAAAAAATATCAAAAAGGACCATCAGAAAAGACCATCAAGGCCGCAAACAAAGCCGACTATCTATCCCAAACATTGCTATACACGAGGTTTCTGTCAAAACATGTAGGTTGGCACGATGGCGTCTAAAACCTGCCGTAGATATCAATGAGAAACGGTCAAATATCAACAGCTTCAATACTATATGGAGTCATCTATCTAAATTAGACACTAAGTCCACATTGCTTTTGAGCCCAGGTTTGCAAGGGCTTCATATCCCATAATCTGACATGAGATGTTGAAAATATTCGAATTTCTTTATTACTCTATATTCTAGGGTATACCATTTCCTTATATCAGTCCAAAAGTAAAGTCACGGTCCCGTCCACGGGTATATATGGCCTCTCTAGACGGTTACCTCGCCATCCTCTAGCTCCTCCCCTCGATCCCTCCTTTCCCTCACAATCTCCCTTCCAAATATCAACCCCCAGAGGTAGGACCTATTAACAACCTCATGAGCCCCCTCCTTCAAAATCCACACATTACCAAGGAAAGTAGTAAGCAAAACAGACAGCCACATCAACGGCATCATAGCAATGAAAGCCCACATAACACCCCCCTTAGCATCCCGCTGCCCAACCCCACTCTTATTCGTAAACACCGTCGACATGATAGTCAATCCGAGCAGACCTCCAAACGGAACCGCAAACGAAGCAAGACACGATATCTGCGCCGTCATCGCGGGGAAATACGCCAACCCATGCATAGATGCTGGGTTCATTCGCATCCCGACTCCGTGCCCAACTAGCGCCATCATGCCGTAGATGACACTTGTTTTGCCTGCATGCACGCCCCATGCCAGCACGGTCATTCCTACTGCTGACGTTATGCTGCCGAGGAAGAGGGCTGGGAAGGTTTGCCGGGGCCAGACGTTTGAGGAGAACATTGCCATGTAAAGTCCGGCTGTTTGGGTTAGTCAAGGTTCGTTTCATATAGTAGATAAATATGTATAGATATACATACCAGCTAAGCCAGGAAGGAAGTATAGCAGTGCGATACCGGCATCACTAGAGCTCCTCCCTTCCACCAACGTAAAGTATATATCCATGAAATACATAACGGCAAACATGGCTATCCCGACCGAGAAATTGATCAGGAACAGCAAACCAATATCGCGCTGTCTCAGTAATTCCCACGGAACCATTGCCTTTTGACGCGGGAGGACCCGTGCCATCAATGAACCAGGCACCATACAACGCTCATAGACGACCCAAGCAATCGTTAGAACCCCGCCGATCACCAGCGGTGCTAGTACAGCAGCGGATTTCCAGGAGTAGTTCCCACCCGCCCAGGTCAACGCAAGAATAAGGAGACCGAATCCCCAGAGGAAGAGGAGTTGGCCACCGTAATCAATAGTCGAGATCCTCGCGAGGAACCGTCCAGACCGAGTCGAGATACCACTTCTCTCGTCCAATTCAGGAATAGGCTGCGGACCCTGCAACTCAGTCCTCAGAACCAGAACCACGACAACCATTGCTACAACCGCGATGGGCAGGTTAATCGCGAAACACCACCGCCACGATGCCTGCGTCAGATACCCGCCGACCACGGGGCCGATGCTAAACCCTATACCAGAGACGAGGGCGAATATCGTCCAGTTGACTGCGTACTCGGCGAGGGAGACGCGGTCGGCGAGGATTGTGCGGATTGATATGTTAACGCCTGCGGCACCGATGCCTTGGAGAGCGCGGCCGAGAAGGAGGACGCTGAATGCTGATGTTGGGGCGCCTGTGCAGACGGCGGAGCCGATCATCATTATGAAGATTGCGGATTGGAGGACGATGTGGCGGCCGAAGAGGTCTGTTAGTTGGGCCCAGAAGAAGAGGAAGGCGGCGGATGTGAGGTTGAAGACGGAGATGATCCAGTTTAGTTGGTTGATTTGGTCTGTGGGTGGTTATTGGTCAGTTGAAGATTGCTGCTGAGGATTTTTGTGTGTGGCACGTACTGAAATCCTCTACGATAAACGGTAGAGCTGAGGCTACGATCGTTGTATCCAGGGCTTGTAGGCAGTATGGACTGAATAGTCCGAGGATGATCTTCCAGCGGTAGACGTTTCTTCGTTTCTTCTCTGCAACTTGCTCCGGGGAGCGGATCTTCTTTTTCTTTCCTTCATCAGGCTGTGGGATATCGACCGGTGTGTCTAATTCGATTGCATTGTCTGGTGTGTTTGAGACTGCAGAATCTATGCGTTTCCGCTCATTTCGCTTCTTGATTTTCTTGTATATCAGAAACATGAGTTCGGTGGGATATTCAAATGAGCGAGGGTGATTGCTTCCGAAGCAAAGCCTGGAAAGAGCGAGCCATCTTTATACCCTCTACTCTACCTACCTCTGCCACGAAGTAGGAGATGAAGAGAAGACGCCAAGCATTCAATGGACCCGATATTTGACCCAACTTGGGCTTAGCGTTCAGTCTAAGCCGCAACCCTCAACCCTGGAGCCCTCCGTTTTGAGATACCTATGCGATATCTTCATGATTCCTATATAGGTAACGAGTGCGATTGGCAGTTATTGCAAGAATTGGTGTCAATAAGTTCATTTTATTCCCATTAGGCAGAAAAGTCCCAGCATTCGCACTGGTGTCCGTGTCGGGACACCTACGCGATATCAAGAATTTCTTTTCAAAATTGCAAGATGCTGGTGACTTATAATGAGCAGCTCCTGGTCTGTTAATTCAGAATAATAACTATACTCCGTAGCGGGGTGGTTCTCGGATAGACTTCGGGGATTTTCTCCATCGCAGGTCAATATCCATTCTCAGCCTCAGTAACCAAACCCAGATAAGCCAAACTCGATACGGCGTAGATAGCGTAAACGGGGCCAAAGCCATCAAACGGACGAATTGGAGTTGATGTAGAAGCCTGTTGCCTAGCCCCACCTGATACTTGGATATGTCATATGGTCTTACTCCGTACTCCATACAAAGTAGAGAGAATTAACAACCGTGAAATACTCACCTTTAATCTCACCAATAACCTCAGAATACACCACTTACAATGGGTATTTCAACACCCGCAGAACCAGCTCCTGCCTACGAGGACCTATTTCACGAGCGCGGTTCCAGCTCACGGAATGGCGTAAGTAAAATTACTCCGGAAGGGATGGTGGATGGCCCCATCAGCATAACTAATCAATCCACATGGATATACAGTATGCCATGGTCGGTCAAATAGACGACGATACCACTGATGCACACCGAGACGTGGAACAGGGTCACCACCTTCACACGGTCCCCGCCCCTATCGCAGTGACAGTGGCCGATGAGCCGGATCAACACACTCACTGTGCAGAATGTGATCGACAGCAGGAGCGCAGAGAGAGAAGGGAGAGTTCACAGAAAGCGTGTACCATGGTTGCGACGACATTTATCCTGATTTCTCTGTTCTTAGCGATATTGGGAATTGTTGGTGTTGGGGCTTGGAAGGATGTTCGTTTGAAGAAGTTACATGGTTAGAGTGGATGTATGTCGTGTATGTTGGGGAAGACATGTTATTATACCAAATTGTAGAACCTAGAACTCGCCCTGATTGATATCTTCCTGGATAAGATGAATGTATTCCCATGCCAAGAGCGTTCTTGTTAGTGTTAGCCATAGTAGCTCCACCTTATGGCCCCCTCAACTCAAAGAACACAACAAGTCCTCTACTCTGAACTACTACTCCCTATACGCTTCGCATGAATCATTCCTAGTTAAAGTCAAATCTCCCTGAGCCTACATTCTACCTAATCCCCCTCTTTCCTATGGTTATATTTACCCCAACCTTCCTGAGGTATAAACCAAAGCCTAACATGATCTCCCTTGGCAGGTATCAACCCACATTCAGCCTTAAAATGTTTGCCTGGCTCAGAAGCCTTTTCGCAAAATCAGAGCCTTCAGAGCCCTCAGCACCCACTGAGGAACCCAAACCTAGAGGCAAGTCGCACAGCCGATCACATAGCAGAAGAGTTCGAGAACGGGAGCGTGAGCTGCGACGAGACTGGACAGGTCAGAAAGGTGGATGGAAGAAATTTTATAGTAAAGGGGGTTTTATGGGGATTTGTTGAGGTTGTTGTGTTTCTTGCGAAGTATACCACCCATGACTGAAATCATATCGCATAGCTTTACTGTTGAATATTTACTTCATTACTTTCTATTATTCATGGAGAGGACTTTATATTATTGAATATTGTATTGAATATTAATTGAAACACAACACTTTATATAAAAGGACCCAAAACAAAAAAGAAAACGCCACTAACAACATGTAATGTTAATCAAACCAAAAAAAAAAAAAAAAAAAAAGNGATGTTTCCGTGCAAAACATATCCCAATCGATCTAGGCAGATCCAAGGTACTTAAGCACATTCTCACGTTCCTCAACAGGCAGCATAGAAAGCACCTGTTGCACACCACGCAGACCACCCTCCTTGTTGCCAATAAGCAACTGAGCAACCTCAGACGCAACACCGTCAGTGCGCAGCGACTCAACCTTGCTCTGAACAACCTTCTTGTTCTCCTCGTACCAAGTAGCAACCTTGTGGTCATCGTGCTCGAGTTCATCGCCCAGCAGACCAGTCCAGGCGTGCAGGGTGCGCAGGTGCGCAGCACGAAGGGACTCGCCGAAAGCGTCGGCGCCGGGGGCTGGGGGCGCGGAGGCGGCGACCATGCGCTTGACAATGGTCTCTTCGCTGAGACGGCGGCGCAGACGCCAGTAGAAGAAGCGACGGGAGTTGACCCACTGCAGAGGCTTGCGGATGGTGTTCTTGGCTTGCATGCGGCCGGCGCGGTCGTGCAGGTCGGCAAATTGAAGCGCAATCTGCATGTACACGGGCAGGAGCTGCTCCTCGCGAGCGGCCAACTTCGCCTTGACTTCGCTGAGTTGTTCCTTGGTAAGGGAGGTGTCGGACAGGGAGCGGCGGAGCTCGCCGTAGGTCGCGTCCAGGCGGGCCATGGTGTCCAGCTGCTTGTCGCGGCGGTACTTGATGTTCACCATACCCTCGGGCTCGAGGACACCACCACGGGACTCTTCATCGGCATACATCTCCATCTGGTCGGGGTTGATAGTGGGGTCAACGACGACCCAAGATCCACCGCGGAGCTCGCCGTGGGGAGGAATGTACACGAAGATCGGCTGCTCGTACTTGACGAGAGCGTCGACAATGTACGAACCGTACTTGAGGACCTCGTTGTACATGTCACGCTGACCACCGGAGAATCCTCTCCAGTTAGCCAGGATCATGACGGGCAGCTGCTCACCATTGTTGAAGTCGCGCAGAGCCTGAGCGGTCTTGTAGGCCGAGTTGGGGTACCAGACACCACCAGCCTCGGTGGAGATCATCTCCATAGAGTCGGGGTTGGCGGGATCGGCAGGGGTAACGTTCTCTACCGAGCGAGTCTCGACGGCGATCACACCCATGGGGATACCGCCAAGGCGGGCACGACCGACAACGACGGTGCGAGCCCAGCCACCAAGGGCCTCCTCGAAGGAGCCCTTGTCGAACAGACCAGGGAGGAAACCATCGACGTCCTCCTTACCGCCGATGAGCCATCTGACGTCATAAGTCTGCTTGGGGGGAGGGAAGTAGCCAACGTCACGGTCCCAGCTATCCGACCAGGGGCGAATGGGGATAGGAGCATTCTTCTTGTCGGGGACGAAGGACATCCACTCAACAATCTTCTCAACACCCTCGAAGTCATCGTTGGCAGTCATGTGAGAAACACCGTTCTTGTACATGATCTGAGTGCCACCAAGCTGAAGGTTGGAGGTGTAAACCTCGCGACCGAGCAGCTTGTTGATGGCAGGGGCACCAGTGAGGATGATGGGCTGGCCCTCGACCTGGATGGCACGCTGACCGAGACGAACAAGGTAGGCACCGATACCGACAGAGCGGCAGGTAACGAGAGTGATAGTGAAGATATCCTCGTAAGCCTTGGAGGTGGCACCGGCGATGAGACCGGAACCCTTCAGACATTCGACACCAAGACCGTCCTTGGCACCAATGACGGTGGTGATCTTGTGGCGCTCCTCACCCTCATCGTTGATGAGCTCGGTGATGACCTCCTTCTTCTTGCTGGCATCAAAGCGCTTCTTAACCTCAGGGGTGAGGTAAAGGTACTTGAAGCCGGCCTCGGGCTTCTTCGGGTTGTTCCAGGCAACCGAGAAGAAGGGGATAATCTCATCGGCCACACCGATGCGTGCACCGGAGTTAGCAGACAAGTAGATACGAGGAATACCCAACTTGCGGGCAAGCTCAGTGCACTTGTGGAAGAACTTGTCTTCCTGAGGACCGAAGGAACCAATCTGGAAGGTGATGTCGTTGGCGACAATGATGAAACGTCTGCCGCGGGGGTACTCGGGAGTACGGGCAGTGATGATCCAACCAACCATACCGTGAGTGTTGGTACCAGGCTCGCGAGACACCTCAACAAGGTTGTCGGTGTCATCCAAGACCAGCTCGCTGTAGTCGATGCACTCTCCAACGGGAGGGCGCTTCTCGTACAAAGAAGGAATCTTCTCGGCAATCTTGGTCCAGCTGTTCTGGAAGGCCTGGCGGAAAAGCTCGGGGAAATCGTACACGTACTGAGTTCCCATCAAGTGAGCCTTGTAGCGCTTGGGCTGCAGCCATTCCTTGGTAGGGTACGGGGTGGCGACAGGGCGCAGATGCATAGAGCCCAGCTTGGCGGTACCACCAATGCTCTGGAAGATCCACTCGCCCTTCTCGGACTTGCGCTCGATGTACAGCTCGACGTTGATGATGAAACCGTAGGTGTTGCTGATAATCACACGCAGGGGGTAGGGCATACCAGTGGCCGGGTCGGTGCAAAGGATGCGAATCTCTGCGCCAGTGACACGGAGACGCCACAGACGGCGGCCAAAGCGATCGAGGAAACCGGCAAGGGCTTGCTCGACATCAACGGGCTGGAGGTTGAAGACGGGAGAGAAGTTGATGAAGATGTGGTTCAGATCGGAGTTGTTGTTGCCAATGATCTCCAGGGCGTCCAGGATGTCGTTCATGAGACGGTCAGCCTCCGAGATCAGGTACTCAGCGGTGGGGATATCGTCACGCAGGCGGCCGGGACGAACAACGGCACGAATGAAGTAGCGCTTGTCAATAGCCTTGTCGTTCTCAGGGCCCTTGCCAATAGCCTCGTAGACGTGAATGTTACGGTTCTCGGTGAACACGGGCTTGATGTTGAACTTGGAAAGACGAGCGAGCTCCAGCTGGAAGGCAAGAGCGGGCTCGTTGTGACGGATACTCAGATCCTCCTCGTACTTGGGACCACGGAAGGTGAAGTAACCGGGATAGACACCTTGCTTGCCGCAGATGAAGGTAACACGACGAATACGGCGGGCGAGGAGCTCATCCTTGTTGTCAGCGAGCAGCTGCTTCATCTGTTCAACAAGATCCGAATCTTCCATGTCCTCAACATCGCGAATGGCAATGTTGCAGACTCCAGTGAGCTCGCTGTCGCTCACGGGCTTGGGGGCGGGGCGACGCTTGCCTTCGAGATTGGCAATGAGGCCCTGCTCGCTGGGGCGCTTGGCGGTGGAGCCGCCGAGAGGGAAGACCTCAAGAGCCTTGGAGAGGAGCTCTTCAGCATCCTCCAAGTACTGTACGGGGATAATAACACCCTTGCGGACTGGGTCACTGGCAGCGTCGCTCACGAAGAGGGACATGTCGCCGATGGAGTTGATCCGCTTGAAGGGGTTGATCTCCGCAATGGGAGTGCCCGGGGCGGAGGGCTGAGTGGAGTTAAGAACACCGAACTCGCGCTGGCCGAGCTTGCCAAGGGTGAAGTCCCAAGACAGGAAGGGCTGCTCAGTGGAGGCGTTGTATTCAATACCCTTGAGGGTGTAAGCACGGTAGGCACGGCGAACGTAAACTTCCAGGGAGGCGAGGGTGACCCAAGGGTCAGCGTGGACGAAGAAGCGAGGGAGAACATCAAAGACAGTGTACTTTGAGTCAACAACCTCCTTAAGGACCTCCAAGGAAGGCTCACGGTGCTCCCATCCGGTCTCACCGTAGCGAGACTCGACGACGGAAGACCGGAGAATGTGCTCCATCTGGGACAGGCGCTCATCCAGAGACGGCATAGCGCACTGAATAAGAACCTCACGGGCCTTCAGAGTAACCTTGGCAGAAGAGCGAGCCTCGAGCTCAGTCAACTTCTTGAGGATGGGCTTGAAGTGTGCGCCAACATTCTCGACGAGGGGCTGGTTGGGGCGGTACATGTCCAAAATGGCCACGACCAGGTTGTTCTTCGAACCGATACGGCTGTGCGAGAGGACGGTGTGGACAATGCTGGTGATGTCGTCCTTGTTCTCCTCACGGAGCTTGAGGATGACATCCTCATCGCGGAGGTTATGGGTAGAGAACAGCTTCTCAACGTCGTAGTACTGTTCGAGCAAGCCAATGAAGACATTGTACTCGTTGGACTTCAAGCCATCCATGTACTTGTTAATGACCTGAACT